CTTTATACACAATCGAACTTGTGCTTTATACAGATTTAAAAGCTGTTCAGGTGTGAAGTCCCGCCTGACCTTGAAAAGTGTGCCTAGTTTTTTGGGAGCAGTTTTTGCCAAGCACTTGATGTATCGCCCAAAGTTGAGGTTGGATGACAAGTCCAGATCAAGGAGCTCAAGGTGGTCACTTATCGGCACGGATACATCTCGGAAAGTCGGAGTAAGGTGTAGGGGCACTTCGTTTTGACCAGAAAAGACACGCCTGTATTTTAGCCTCATTAAACCTGACCTTGTTCGCGTCTCCCCAGTCGAAAGCCGCTTTCAGGCTCAGGTTCAACCGGGTGACCATCGCCTCTCGTTTACACCGGATCTGTTCGCTGTTGTCTCGGGCGTCTGGCACATAATTCTCTACTACTGTGCTGTCGTCTGTGTACCCAAAAATATCGGGCATCAGCAACAGTGACATGTGTCAACGACATACAATTTCTTTTTTGTTAAATTTGTACTTCTTTATTCATGTGCAATTTATTTTTTTTGTTTCTTTTGTTTAATCACAATTGTTTTTCTTCTTTTCATGTCATTTTTACATTTTCAGTCATTGACCTTTTTGGTAGGTCAATGTTTTCAGTACATTTTATAATTACAATACAATTTTTTATTTACAATTCAATATAAATCCTGCAGTAAGTATATAACGCGGATTCTTATATATTTTTGGTGCCGACGCCCTTTTTTCTAAAATGGAAGGATATGAAACTGATAGGGCTCCTTCGGCTCTATCAGTAAATGAGAAAACTGATTTTAATATTTTAATAAAGATCATTATTAAAATATATCCAAAACAAATAACGTGAATATAACACAACTTGACATGAAGAGAGTTCTACGAGGTAACAAAAGCAAATTTAAATTCCAAAAGAATAACTCTCATTGTCACATCGGCCAGTATGTAAAAGATTACTCATCCATGCTCTGACACTCCTCAATTATTTACACCTGGCTTTCCTTATACTATCAAAAACCTTGTCAGTCATGAACACTCAGTACACACCCATTTCTCTACGGCAAAACTCATACTTGCCCTTTAACACTGCTTTCGTTAAAGCATCAGCAACCATGCACTTGGTTTCTAAATACTTAAGCTTTATAGTATCCCTTTCTAGTGCTTCTCTAATAAAATGATAGCGTACATATACATGTTTTGTCTGCTGATGTTGCACCGGATTTGGGGCTATTGCCATAGCAGATCGACTGTATGTATGTATCGTGATAGGCAAATCCTCCTTGCCCGTGATTTCATTCAGAAGTTGCTGTAGAATATGGCTTCTTTTGTAGCTTCTGATAAGCTATATAAGGCTAATCTAATATTCGATAAGGCTGTACATCTTTGCTTTGTGCTCTGTCAAGAGATGGCTCCATTTGCCATCTTAAACACGTTGCCGGAGTATGACCTCCTGTCTATTATATTTCCAGCGTAATCATCATCTGCAAAACCTTGAATATTTCTACAAGATACGTCTTTAGAGTATACAAGACCCGTGCTCTTGGTACCCTTTAAGTATCTCAAGATCCTTTTAGCTGCGATCCAGTGCACTTCATCATAACAATTGCAGAACTGACTCATGAAGTTTACTGCATGTGCTATATCTGGCCTTGAACATACAGCTATATACATCAGTGAGCCTAACAGCTCTCTGTAGGCTAAGTTTTCATTTGTACACTCTCTTCCTTTTTCAAATCGTTGTCCAGGACCTGCTGGTGTACCTACTAACTGTTTTGCAGTTTTCCGTCTTAAACCTGTGAAGAAACTATTCAATGTAACCGTCTTGCTTGATTTTAATGCAACCTTTTTCTTGTTGGATCTCTATCGCAAGAAATAGTTCAGCTTTCCAAGATCCTTCATTTCGAAATTTGTTTTTAAATCTTCCTTAACATTTTGCATCTCCCTCTCATTGTTGTGGAAAATGAGAATGTCATCTACATAAACGGCTAATATTATTAAGTTCTTTCCTGTAGACCTCGTGTATACACAGGATTCATGTTTACAGCGCTTGAACTTGAGGTTCTGTAGCTCGTATGCAATTTAAAGTTCCAGGAACGTGGCGCTTGCTTCAGTCCGTAAAGAGATTTCTTTAGCAAGCACACGTGATCTTCCTTTCCTTTTTCTGTAAACAGCGATGGCTGCTGTATGTAAACTTTCTCATTTAAATCACCATTTAAGAACGCGGTTTTAACGTCCATGTGATCTATTTTTAGACCTAGGTTGGCCGCCAAAGCTATGAGCATTCTTAACGAGCTATGTCTCACAACAGCACAACGTTTAGCAACTAGATCATCAGCCGCGGGCGGACTCTCAACATATTGCCATAGATTTTCATGGACTAAAATGCACACAATATCAAACTTCCAACTGTCAAAGTTACTACTTCCTTGTAACTTCTCAAATCAAATCCCAGGAAGTCCAGACCCCGATATAGTACTCATTTGTCTAACTAGAGTAATATAGGAATTTGGTTAATCTCACCATTAATCTCTCTACGAGTCCTATCACATAATCACGTTCGTACGCTCTTTGTTCTAAATCTGTTCACTCCATATTTTAGTAGCTGCTGGTTCCTATAACCTGATAGAGGTCCTCCGGCTCTATCAATAAATGAGAAAACTGATTTTAATATTTTAATAAAGATTTTTCTTAAAATATATCCAAAACAAATAACGTGAATAAAACACAATTTGACATGAAGAGAGTTCTACGAGGTACAAAAACAAAAGTAAATTTAAATTTGAAAAAGAATAACTCTCATTGTCACACCGGCCAGTATGTAAAAGATTGCACATCCATGCTCTGACAGAAACCAGCTCGAGCGACTCGAGCACGGTAAAACACGCAGGCAAAGATCTTACAACCACTTCGGACTTCAGTCCTTGCGAATAACGCGAGGACAACATAAGAGGACGTTAACAAATTTGGAAATTTTTTTGGAATCTGCAGAGGTAGACGATGCCGTGCTCGAAGTTCGGAAAAAGGTATTGGAAAAATCATTTATAAGCTTCCAAAATACGTAACATGATATTTCATGCATTGACGAGGGCGATGATGATAGCGACGAGTTTGAGCTGTATTATTGCAATTTGCTCGCTAAAATTGGGAAACTGCTGAAGAGCTGGAAAACTTTCAAAACTGGGAACCACAGCGCCTCTCCCTCTGCAACATCGAGCTATTTGAAACTTCCACGCATAGAAATAAATACTTTCGATGGTAAATTAGAAAACTACCGCTCATTTTAAGACTTGCTTGATTCGCTAATTCATCAATATCCACATTTGGCAAACATACAAAATTTATATTATTTAAAACGATATTTAAAGGGAGAGCCTTTGGAAATTATCAATAATTTACCACTCTTATATGACTCGTACATTTCTGCGTTTGAATTACTCAAGAAGAGATACGATAACCTTTCTATTATAATTGCAAAGCATACTAATACCATATTGGATCTTCCTACTATACAAACATCATGGTTCCGCAGATCAATTAAGATCCATGACAGTAAAGATAAGACAGCAAATAATGGCGCTACAAAATTAGAAACAGCCAAGAAAGTTAATCAATGGAGTTCGATTTTATTTTGCATTGCATGCAGGAAGGTTGATACATTTACCTACATTATGACATTTACCTACACTCCGAAAGCTCAAGCTACAAGTTTCTCAACATTGCAGATTTGCTCGACTTCATTGATAATAGAGCTAGTTCATTAGAAGCAAGTCCTTCATCATCGAAACATAAGGTAGTGAACGTATAAACGAAATAAAAAATTGCATGTGTCAAGGACCACAAGCTTTACAAATGTCCTAATTTCATATCGATGGCAAAAAGACTTCAGTTGATAATTAACAAAAAACTTTCCAAGATATGTCTAAATTCTCATGAAAAACCATGTCGATACAAGTTCAAAAGCACTGTTTACAATCAAGACCACAATGCGCTGATTCACATCAACGAGGAGCGTAGTACCTAATCAAGTTTTACATTGTGTCAAATCAAGAGAACACCATGTACTCTTGCCTACTGCTAAGGTTCTGGTCAGAGATGTCCACAACAACAAGTACATTGTGCGCGCTTTACTTGATTCGGGAAGTCAAATTTTTGTTCAAAGCGCTTAGCTTCAAAGCTAGGTGTTTCCACATTTGATTTTTCTAAAAATATTGTTGCATTAGGAGACAATGTAAAAAAGGTTGACAAATGGGTTAATTTCTAAAA